TCATTCTTATTCCCCGTGGGATTCAATTTGATCATTGGCATTGTCTTCGTCATTTGCATTTGGCAACGCTCATTCTTTTCCTTCCAATAGTGGCAGACACTTTCCACTTTCAATTAGAGATTTTGTGTCTTCACAATTTTTTTCATTCAAGGTTAAAATGAAGGTTACTTCTCTTCTTCGATACGCGACAGAAAAACGTTGTTTTTCTTTTGTATTTTCATTCGACGTCATCACGGATAAGGCAATGACCGCGTGAGTGTGTGAAATGCGTCTCACTAGGAGAGACAGGAAGTAATGAACAAAACAACTTTAAATAGATATTCATGTCTACAACGATAGATTTACGCAAAAAAGAGAAAAGTTAATGAAAAAACTTGTCATTTGCCGGTTCATTCATTCGCACATGTGCATATCACTCAATTTTCTGTCTTTGTTGGCAACATTTAGTTGACAGATCAATTTCACATCATCCACAACTCATCTATCAACACATCTCTATCTTTTCAGGAGATTACATTTGTTGCTTTTATATTATTTATTTTTCTTCTAACGATCAAGATCAAAAACATATCTGATTTTCCCGTCGTTTTCTTTTTCACTTCGAATCGATTCATTTATTTTTCTTTATTGTCTGACATTGTTCGAAACAAACAAGAGTCTTTCATTAAAACAGAACTATGCTGTTCTTTTGCCAGGAGAACTCCGTTATTATCATGTGATCGAATCAGCTTTAGAGAAGTATGATCTCAAAGAACATTGTTTTAATCTCTTGTCGTCGTCTTCCGTTTTCTTTTCTTTTCAACAAGCAAGATAAGACAAAAACTTCCTTCTAATGAGTCGTTACTAGTTAGATAAGAACATATCAATTCATTTGTTCAGATTGAAGGAAGTCCACAAAGAACTATTCAAAGATGACATTAACGCACGCACATCTATTTAAAAAGTACATGCTTAGAAAATGGTTTGCATGCGTAGGTAATCTTAGTTACGGCGTTTAACATGAAGCTTGCTTTACATAAAGAAAAAGTCATTCACCATCATTTTTTTTCTCATTTTTTCTCATTCGTCTGTCTCAATTATTCTAACTGATGGCATAAAGAATACTTCGTTATATGTATTTTCTAATTAAAAAGAATATAATATATGACAGTTTGATATTAAAAAAAAAAGAGAATTTTCCCTTTGTCTGATAAATCTTCACATAAATGCATGTGAAAAGCAGTTCTCTTTTCTTTCTCTTTTATTCGCGAATGATATAACCTTCATTTGCTGTTCTTTTCGGTATGTTGGTGTCAGAAAAGTACGGCGTAGGAATAATTATTTCATTCGTTTATTTTCTTTTTCTCATTGAGAATCACTTCTTTCCGATTCATTCAAGATGTTCTCTTAACTATTTATTCTTTTTTAATTCTTCTTCCATTCAACAAAAACATACCTCAATATTCTTCTTTCTTTTTTTAAAGATATGCCTTTAAAAATAAAATTTACGACATGCTCAATATGTTTGTTCATTTAAACAGAAACATTTTAGCTCTACATGACGGCAGAGAATCACGATGAAGTCATCGATGTCTTTAGCGGATTCGCACCGCCTTCGACACTTTCATTATTCGATGCGAAAACTCGTTCATTGTACACGTCCATTATCGTCATACTCAAAGTCTATCCGGTGCTTCTACTCGTCTTGGGTTCATTGGGAAATCTCCTTTCCTTTTGTGTTCTGTTACGTGCAGCTATGCGACGATATTCAACATTCTGTTATCTAGCATGTCTCGCTCTTGTCGATCTCGGAGTGATCATCACCTTCTGTGTCAATTTCATTTCATTATATCATTTTCATTATGATATTCAAACCGAATCATTTCCATGTAAATTGTTCGCATTTTGCATTTATTTTCTTCCGCAATATTCCTCGTGGATATTAGTTGCTGTCAGCATCGACCGTGTTATTTCAGCAAAATATCTTCGTCTTGCAAAAACTTGGTCTAAACCAAGACATTCAGTTCTAGTGACGATCATTCTCGGTTTGTTTCTCACCATATTAAATAGTCATTTTCTTCTCTATGAAAATAATTCAATTAAACAACGAAATCCAGAATCAGTGAACACTCGAAACGATCAACAACGAATTCTTCATAATAACACAGCTATCGAAGGATACTTATCATCGAAATCGCAATTCTCATTCACAAATTCAGAAGCAAACCATGGAGGTACAAGTGAAAGTCATGAACGGGTCACAACAACAAGTGATACATCATTATCTTACGAAGTATTTACAAGGCCACCATCTCCAAGTATTCATCAAGAGCGAACTTATGAGACTCTTCTTACAGCAATTAAACAAGATGCAATCCCATTCTTCGATGTGAATGTTATTCATTGTTCATTAGAGAATTCCAATGAACATGGAAATCTGTATGTGTATTGGGTTTGGTTTGACTTAGCAATGAATGTTTTTATCCCATTTACAGGTTAGTACAACGAACATTGTCGGTCGAATAAACATTTCTTTTGTTTTAGCAATGATTGCATGTACAATAATTATTATTTTAACACTGATTCGTTCATCCTCAAGAGCTGGTTCGACGTCGGCCCGTCGTTCGCGCCGTCGACGAAACATATCTGTGATGTTAATCACTGTCAACCTTGTTTTTATTAGCTTAACAGCACCGATCGTTATCTTCTTAAGTGTTTACGAATATGTCAAAGATGACACGAATTTATATCGACAAACTGTCTTAGTTCTAATTAAAGTTCTTTGTATAATTTTAATGAATCTCAATCATTCGATTAATATTGTTATCTATTCGGCAACAGCGAAAGAATTTCGCACTGAAATGGTAAATTTCGTACAAGCAGTTCTTTATTTCATTATCGGCAAGCCTTTGACACCGGCTGAACTTGCTTTTCTCCAACACGATGGAACAATTTCATCACGTTTAAGACAAATTCGTCGAAATCTTTTCAAATGTTGTCAAATCAAATTACGTTCAAGTTCTCCAAATACGACTGACACCAGTGGATTACAACATACAACAACTCACGGTGGGTCGAGTCAAACACGTTCATCAAATAGTAATAAACGAAGTAAACGTCATCGTTCAGATGGCAATGGAAAAGCGAAATACTCCATAACACTAAACAGTGAAACATCAACTAACCCAACTAGTCATCGTCTAATTGTTAAACTCCAACCCGATCCCGTTTCATCGATCTATGAACGTGAAGATATGTCATTTCATGGTTTATCTATATCGACGGAAGATTAAAGAAAAGAAAATGTTTTCTCTTTTTGTATAGTTTTATTTTTTTTTCTTTGTGTTAATTATATTTGTTATCAGTTTGGTTCTGTCTGCTATAAATGCCTTTCTTCTTTGCTTTTCTCCCTTAATTACTCAATCCTCTTCTTCAACATGCATTCAAATAATATCACCATGAGAGGAGAATAGAAAAGAATAAGTAGATTTATTCAGAAAACATTTCTTTAAACAACCATACATATTCATTTCGGATAAAAACTAATTAGTTTAATGCGAGGAAAAGCTGACAGCACGCAATGGTTTGTTTTCTTTCGTTTACACTGATCTTATATAATAACAATCAAAGTCTAGAAAAGCAAAAAAATCTTTTCTACTCATTCATCTGTCGCGAAGCAAATTGAAAAGTTTACTTTAGAAATCACATTTGACACGATCTTCCGTTTTTCAATAGCGTCGTTAGAATTTATTTTTCTACTCAATGACTACTTTCAATACCGATTCTTTCTTACCCTTCGATATAGTTCAAACGGCGGATATAGAAAAAAAAGGGCGTAGTCAAGAGTATTCGGTTTTCATTCGGGCGTGTCAAAACAATAATTTCGTTTCATGTGCACATTCATACACATATTATATATATATATATATATGCAGATACCAAAATGTATATTTTTTCTACCAATTTTTTTTTACTATGCATGATGAGATCGAAGTAACGCGTCATAATTGGTGGACGAAACGTTCCAAATTCGTGTCGAAATATATTCTTTCGTATTATTTTTATCTATTCATTATTTTATTGATACCATTAGCCATCATTCAGATACGTTTTAGCGAAGTTTATGAAGATCGTTGTACAATTGATGATCGAATAATCATTTATTTACTCGTTTTTGGAATTATTCAACTGATTTATTCATTCAATGGAATTTTTCTCATCATATTCTCTCTTCTTTACGAAAAATATCAATGGTTATCGATAGTTCATTTGATTTGCTTTGTTCTTCAATCGATTCTGTTAATTTGCTTCTTCACTTCGTTTATTATCGGAAATTATTTAGTATTTCATATAAAAGACGAAGTCCAATATACAAATACATATGATGTTCGTACGTATTGCGATTCGACGTTGTATCAGATGGCGTTTTGGTTGATAATTATCTATTACATCATTCTAATATTCTTTTCAATGTGTTTTGTGTTGACACACATGAAATATTTCTTAGAAATGTTGAAAACTCATTATCGAAAAAGCTCCGATGCTGACTCTTCTAAAGTTTAATATGTCTGTTCAGATAATTTGCTTGTTTTTTCTTCACTCAAGTCATTTTGTAAAAAGTGTACAGGATTGTTTTATTAAATAAATGCTAAAACTGTTAATCAAGAATGTTCGTCTGCAAGTATGAACATAATCTAAATTTACATAACAAAGAAATGCGACGAGGAGACTATGTAAATTGCTTACAAGTGGTCAATGACATTTATTTTGTCTCTCTTGTGAATAGTCGACTGAACTCATCTAAAGTTTGTCGTGTGTGCTTCATCTCGTATACATTCATTCAAAGTATATTGTTCAATCCGGTCACTGATGTCCAGGAACACACACCGACGTCGTCATTTTGGTCGAGCTTTGTGTAAACAGACAAACGAAGTTGATCTATGTCGAGAGAAAGGGAGAAAACGAAAGGACAATGAATGAAACTTTTCTTTTAATCATTAAAAAAGAACGAGATAGTGAATATGAAGTTCTTCTTTTTGATACAATTGACGATTATCTTTTGGAATAAAGTTGTTCGTAAGGATTTTCTTTGACAAATAGAAAACATTCTAACAGAATCTTCTCTCCCATCATAGACAATGCAGATTTACGTGTTGTTTGTTATTATACCAATTGGTCATTATATCGTGAAGCAATGCCAACACTTTATCCTGATCATATCGATCCGTTATTATGTACGCACATACATTATGCGTTTGCAGATATTGATCCATTAACGTTGGCGATTACGCCAATCGAAGAACATGATATTCATTGGACAGATCGGTTAGGAATGGTAATGTGAAAAGAGCTTGAGAGTGTCGAAGTTTTTATCGGATAGTTTTAGCCACTTTATTTGAGAATGTATGGGTTAAAACGACGAAATCCAAGTTTGAAGATTATTCTATCGGTAGGAGGATGGTCGGCAAGAAGTAAAGGTTTTAATGCAATATTAAGAAGTGATAATACACGGTAGAAATTTGAAAGAGATCAATCAAAAGAAACATACAGACTAATCGCTACAATTTTTAGTGCAAAATTTATTAATCAAACGATCACTTTTCTCGAAGAATGGCAATTCGATGGATTGGATCTTGTACGTAAAAGTTTGTTTGTCTTGCATAGGGAAGGATGTTTCTTTTGTAGGATTGGGAGTTTCCGGGTTCACGCGATCGTGATGCAGAACCTGATAGTAAACTCAAATTCAATATTCTCGTACAAGAATTACGACAAGCCTTTGAAGAGGAAGCTGGTCGAATGAATAAATCAAATCGATTATTATTAACAGCAGCTGTTGCCTCCGATCCAAAGAAAGTCAACGAAGGTTATATCGTCGACGAGTTTTGCAAGTAAAACATATTTCTTTCATTTTCGCAAGTGTTTCTTTTTCTTTTTGTTTTCAATAGTTCATTGGATTATATCAATGTTATGACATATGATTACCATGGTGAGAGAAGATCCTGATTGGAAATGAATTTTCACCGAAAGTTGTTTTTTTTTAGGAAAGTGGGATTTGGTCACAGGTATTAATAGTCCGTTGTATAGAAGTAATGCAGAATTAGAAGATCATGAGGATTGGAAAAATTCAGTTAGTATTGGACATTCTTTTGTGAACGGATAAAGACAGATTTGTTTAGAATTCTTCAATTTCCTATTGGATTAATCACGGATGTCCACCATCGAAAATGAATCTTGGTTTGGCTCTGTATGGACGATCATTTACATTAAGTGATCATCAGAATACTTCAATTGGCGCAAAGACCATCGAAGGTGGTGGAGAAGGTATCGAATTTCATTTGCAGTCTTCTTGTTTGATCATTTGAATGATTTTAGCTGGACCGTATACGAAAGACAAAGGAATTCTTGCGTATTTCGAGGTAAATGTCATTGAAATTCGAATTGAATGAAGTTTTTTTTTGGTTTTGTTAGATTTGTCAAAAGTTGCGCGCACATAATTGGACAACCGAATGGGATTTAGATTCTCAATCTCAATATGCTTATTCGGATACAGGTCAATGGGTTGGATACGATTCACTTCGAAGTGTTACATTGAAAGTAAACAAAAACAAACGTTTTCAATCAGAATTTCTACTTTTGTGATTTCAAGGTCATCTGGGCGAAGGCAATGGGACTTGGTGGTGCGATGCTGTAAGTAAATCTCGAGAGAATCGACACATCGAATCGTTTTGATCTGTTGAATTTAGATGGTCGTTAGATTACGATGATTATACAGGCTTATTTTGCAATCGTGGTGAATTTCCATTTACTCGTCGTGTCTATGAGACGATGTTTGATTCTGTTTTAACCACTTCGACCTTGTCTATAACAAATGAATCCCAAATAACGACGACGACAGTAATTTCCTCAACAAATATGTCCAAATTTTCATTATCATCATTCAATCGAACGAATAAACCGAACTTCGTCGTTGTGCTCAGTCCATCGCATCGAACAAAAAGCATTTTGGATTCTCGTATGGTCAATGAGGCCGGTGACCATTTTCATCTATTAAACTCACTCTTTTTATTATTATTTCTATCGGTGTTTCATTTCTTCGAATAAAGAACTCATATTTCTCCACATAAATCCACAATAACTTTAGTTTGGCGTGTTTTTTTTGAACAAAAAAGAAAGATTTTCGTCTCCAACTCCTCAAATAACAAAAACAAACATATTTATGAAATGAAAAAAGAAAAAAAGGAAAAGATAAAGAGAGAATATTAATATAAATATCGACGAGGAAACATCAAACATTTTGTTTCAATCTCATTTCATCTTCCGTTCGAAAGAGTCACTCACGCTCGATGATCTTCATTGTGTTTTGAAAATTTCTGTGAGATTTGAAGAGCCAAAAGGAAAAAAATGAAAAAAAAACTCAAGCAAAGAAAGAAAAAGGAAACGATAATATCACTGGAGTAAGAACAAATGTGTCTCAGTCTATTTTAATTGAATAAATTTTTCGAACGAACGCTTGAGTGCCAATATAACCAAATGTACCGCACATAATGCCAAGACCAAGAGAAAACAAAGCCATATAACCAAAATAAAAGGCTGTTTGGAACATTCCATACATTCTAAATAGCGAAAACATTGTTTTCGAAGTCAAATTCATTTTTCAACGCGATTTACTTTGTCTTAAAGAAGAAATAATAAACAGCATATAAATATACGTAGAATGCGGATGAGGCACCCGATAAGAAGCTTGTCCATTGCCTAGGAAAACGAGCAAATGATATTGTTTATGATTTCTTGCTCTTTACCATCGATAATCTTCGGCATTGAGCATGAAGTAGGTCGCTACGATTGTTACACATACAGTTACAACAGCAAGTATTAAGAATACGAGTAACATAAATCCATAAACATAGTAAATCTAAATTAAAAAAAACATGTCTTTTTCGTATAGATGAAAAAACTTCCTCATTGTACCTTATAGGCCCAAAACGAAGTGAAGATGAAATACCTGAAACGAATTAACATGTGAAAAAGCTTTGCATTTAGAAAATATTCTTACATTTCGATAAATATTGATCCAAATGGTAAGATTCCACTGGCGAGAATAATCACATTTGGTTCCATAAACCTAATCAAAACAACTCATTCTCATCTGAACATCAAAATATCATTTATCACACCATTTCTTTTCCGGTATGGGTCGTGGTACTGCATTTGTTCGACAAGGTACATTTGGTTCTCCGCTAATATTTCGCCCTAAGACAGTTCCGACGGCTGTTAATGGCAAGATAATGAACAAACAAATGGCTGTTACACTCAACTAAATCAAAACATCGAATGGATGAGAACGAAAAGAGAAGTTTTTCAACAAACCATAACAGTAAATGGAATCGAACGTGATGAACCATAGTAGATTGAAATAAAATTAACCAAGAACGCGACACTACAGATGATTGCAGGAACAAGAAATGCGCCAACTAATAGTTGTTTAATCCATAGTTGTCCTTTCATTCGAGCGTATAAACTTCCACCTGCATAACCATTAACAACTGACGAAGCGGCATAGAGAAATATAGCTGTACTGAACAATAATCCACGTCTAAAATGAACCAACAATCAAATAGAAAACAAATTAAAGGTAATTTCATTGAAAATTTACTCGGTGTAAAGGTCAAATGCAATGGTGGTTAAGATACACAGTGTCGAGACAGTGGCGATTTGATAACCAGAGCCAATTAATGAAGCAAAAAGGATTGGATGAGCTGGAGGACGAAATACATCACCATGAACTTGTTTCCAGCCGTATTCATCACCGAGGTCTCGTTCCTAAAATATGAAAAACACGTAAAACACCTTCAACTACCGAAGACTATTTACCATATCATCTAAGTCATCGTCTTTGCCATATCGTGCATAATCTTTTCTTAATGTTCGCAATAAAATCATACTGACAAGTCCGACAAGAAATAAAACCATCATAAACGAATTAAAGATTGAAAACCAATGAATCTATATGAAACAAATTCAATGTTTACTTCGTTCGAATCAAGCCTAACTGGTCAAATTACTTTATGTTGAAAGAATCCTGGATCTAAATATTTATCAAATCGTTTGGCAAATGGAATCGATGTTGGTTTCCAAATAACTTCATAAGTAAACTTCAATACAGTATTCGGTTTGATGTTAACCTTCGCTTCCGATGTTAAATTAACATCAATGATTCGATCCTCATTATATGCTATTTCAAATTTCTTATGCGTCCAGATGAATGCCGATTTACCCGATTCGTCCATTTCGCCAACAATTCCTAAAAGAGGGAAACCGTTTAAAATAGCCAATGATGCAACTCAATTTCTACAAACCCCAAATCGGTAAATCATCGATAAACATTTGATACCAGTAATGATTCTTGATTGCATACGTTAATTCATCGTACGCTTCCGGTGTCATAGTTTTTTCGCAAATATCTGTTCTAGGTTTATCTCCTACAAAAGTTTCACATAAAATTCCATCGCAAAATTCTTTGTTTTTTTTCTTACGTTTGAAATTGATCTCTACTCCACTGTATTCTAATTCTACACCTAAGATATTTTCGCCTAGAGTTTCATGATAATGTGAGATTTCCGTTTTCGTTCCTCGGCAAAATGGCAACGAAAAATAATTGTACGTTTCTTGTCGATTATGATACGGGCCAACGGTATTCATCCATAGAACAACTTCACTTCCATCTTCATACTAAAGAAAACCTTAATGAAATTTACTCTGTAAAAAAACAATAAATACGTACTCTATGATCATGCTCATCACATGAAACGATTGTGAAGATAAGGCAAAAAAAAAGACATAGACCAGAAATATTCATTATTCGACGTGTTTTATTTCAACTAGAGTAATAAAGACAAAATTCAATTTTTCATCTAGAACATAATGTGAATGGCAAACCGCGGTGAGGAAAAATATTGTCAACATGCTGAAGAAGAAAAGAGGAAAAAGAGTCGAAGTAATGCTTGACTGCTACTGCTGTATGAAGACAAGGACAACAAATATGTGTAGTCAATTTTTGATAGTTTGTGGAATTTGAACAGTATATAGGGAAAATTAGATAAAAAAATATTTCGAATACAAGACAAAAAGTGACAACAACGCCAACAAATAACAGACGAATAATGATTACTAAGCTCTGGTTTATTCTCATTGGATAGTGCACTTCGGTAACGCACCTATGCACTTGAAATATGCATTTCGAAAATCAGATTCTTAAAATAATTAGAAAATGAAATGTATGAAAAACTAAGTTAGTTATATGAATTTTGTCGAAGATCTTTTTCAAAATAATTTCTCTAAAGGTCTTAACCAAGTTGCTGAATTGAAATGATGGCAGGAGATATTTGTATACGAGACGCAAACATATTAATTTGACATACTTCTTCAGTTTTGGTTAGAAAAATGACATCATCAAGTTATATGCTTGAACGTGAATTGCTTGGCTCAGCAAGAGCGATTATCGATGCGAGTTCCAATGCTCCTCTTACACAACAATCTCAATATAGTACTTTTCGAGGGCCGTATACAACTACATCTACGAGTTTTAGTCCCCTTGGATACGGAACAACTCCGTGTGATAATTCGGAATCGAGAAAAGCTCTAGCAGATGTAAGTAAAAATCGAATTCTTTATCAAATCTATTTGAGTGTCTTCATCATAGTTACAAGACCAATTACGCGTTTTGAAAAAAGATCTGGAGAATAAAGATGCTCTTGTTCAAGAATTAACTTCAATGAAGTAATGTGCATTAGTTTGTATTTGTCAAAATCATCTTTTCGTTTTTTCTTCGTCACAACAGGGATGCAAATAAACATGTTCATTTCGAACCGTCTCGATACGATGTTTTATCTGGTGTTGATCGAACATCTCTTGCAGCAGCTCAACGTGACCTAGACCAATGTCGAATGAAAATCGACGCTCTAACTCACGATGTAACTCACCGATCTTTCGTTTTCTTATTGAAATATGAATCAAAATCGTTTTAGTTACGTGAAACATCGATCAAATGTTCGGCGAAAGATGAACGAATCAATGAGTTAAGACATGAAAATGAATCGCTCAAACGCGAACATGAACTTGTTCTTCAAACTAATAATCAATTTCGTTTACGAATTCGTGAGCTCGAGACGAACATGAGTTCGTTTGATTCAGTTGCAAATAAATCATCATTAACAATCTCATCATTACAAAAAGATGCTCGAGAAAAACAAGATCAATTATTAGAATTACAAACACGAATCAGGTAAGGCCAATGAATTCATATTTTTATAACCGAACATATTTCTTTAGAGCACATATGGAAGAACGAGAAGTAAATGAACGAAAAATGGATGTGCTGCACAAAAAATTACAAGAATTATTCGCACAATTAAGTGTCACTCTTGGACATGATTATGGACAACCGAGTACATTAGCATTCGAAACAGTTATAAACAGAGTAAGCGATCAATCAACTTAGTTTTCTTCACGAGAGACTCCTTGACTAGTAGAGAAATCATTTCCTAAGTCAATAAATACAATCCAAGGTCAAAAGTATCGTTGACGTTGACGAGAAGTTTCTAATCTTGTTCTGCAAGGATCATTTTACATTTCGTCAAACATTCACCGTACTATTCATTTAGATTGCTGATATAAATGCTGAGAATATCTTACTAAAAGGAAAAATGGTCAAATTGGAAGAAACGAACAAGTTGTTAGAACAAGATTCGCAAACAAATCGTGCAACCATTCAACAAATGACCAATCAATTACAATCCTATGATCATAATACCATCGGTCATCGTTTGCAAATCGATGCGATCAAAGCCGAGCGAGATGCGGCACTTCATGATAAAGAAATGGTCAAAAGTGAACTTGAAACAGTGAAATCTCGTCTTGATTCCATTCAGAAAGCCTGGCAGAATACACGTGGAGAATTAGACGAACGACAAAACCGATTTTCGACCAATGAACTACATGTTAAACAATTAGAAAACGATTTAGCTTATAGCAAATCATGCTTCGAAGCATTTAAACAACAAGTCGGACAACTGCTTTCTGATGGATATGTCAAAGTTGAACCAAAAGAAGATGAAATTAAAGAAAAGATTCATTTATTAATGCAATCAAGCAAAGATCGAGGCCTTGTAAGTTCACATTCAACTTTTCTTACCAAAATTCACTCACTTCATCTTCGTAGATCATAACAAACCTTCAAAATCAAAAAGAACAGTTAGCCAAGCAATTACAAGAACAACTCGAGATGAGCAAAGAATCGGAGAAGAAACGAACCCACACCGAATCGCATTTGTATGAATTAGAAAATCGTCTGAAAACATTGAACATGACCTGCA